TGATGAGGATGCTCACTTTTTGAAACTTTATCCAAAATTTCAGCTGTGCTTAAATGAGGAAGCAATTTTAATGTTTTCATCCCATAATGATAACATTATTTTAAATATCTTGATAGCGGTTTGGTATGACACGATTGATCGGGAATTGGCATAATGGCATCATGAGTATTTTTATGCTATTTCATGAACTCTGCATCTATTGCAAATCAGGGTGAGATCGAGTGTCGTAAAATCAAATGGATCAGCGTTTTTTTAGAAGGGGTGTTAGGCTAATGCACTTTGCGGAAACTTCCTATTGCCTCGGTCTTGCGCCGCGGCAATTTTCCCATCGGCTGTAACAATTTCATAAGCTGTTTGGTCATCTAACAAAGCCAATACCAGCTTATTATTAATGCCATGCCCCGATTTGAACGCCGTATAACGACCAAAAATTTGATGCCCTGCCAGATACAAATCCCCGATGGCATCTAAAATTTTGTGTTTAACGAGCTCATCATCAAAACGTAAATGCTCATTGTTGAGCATGCGGTGCTGATCAAAAACAATCGCATTGTCGAGGCTACCCCCTCTGGCCAACCCCATTTGACGTAAGCCCTCTACCTCATGCACAAAACCAAAGGTTCGTGCTCTAGCAATTTCTTTAATATAGTTTTCTGATGTTAAATCAAACAAGTAATTTCGTTTTGTGCTGCTCACAGCGGGATGATCAAACTCAATGGTAAAGTCTAGCATGAAGCCATGATGGGGATCAAGCCGAGCCCATTTATCGCCCTCTTGGACTTGGATCGTTTTTTTGACCTTAATATACTGTCGTGGCAGATCTTGTTCGGTAATACCAGCAGATTGCAATAAATAAATGAAGCTCGCGGAACTGCCGTCCATTATCGGTACTTCTTCTGCATCTATTTCCACTAACAAATTATCAATTTCGAGACCTGCACATGCTGATAATAGGTGTTCAACGGTTGAAATGCGGGCTGAACCTTTTTGAAGTACTGAGGCCAAACGCGTATCACCAACCCCAGAAGCCAAGGCAGGAACGTCCACACAAGGGGTTAAATCGACACGCCGGAAAACGATGCCATGGTTGGTCGGTGCAGGATGTAGCACAATCCTGACTCGACTACCTGCATGGAGGCTTATGCCCGTAGTCGATATCGAGTGTGCAAGGGTTTTTTGTAACCTTACCATAAGGAATCCGTTAATAGCGCGTTATTCAATCAGAACTGGCACGTACTTTTCGCCAAGTTCAAAGTATTAGCATGACTTCCACAATTCATAGGCATTATCATGCAATGTGCTTTACATATGCCATTATGCCTGAATTAGCAGGCAATGACCAGCCCCTACCCTATAAAAGTTGGGCTTTACCGTTTGTAGATCCAACCATCCTACTCAAAACAATTTCAATCAGATTGCCTAACCGATTAGTCCGCTTGGTTACGCAAAAATGTTGGAATGTCTAAGGTGTCATAGCCCTTCTCCCTTAACGCATCAATTTGTGCATTCGCTGACTGGCGCGCACTATTAGTTTGCCAAACGGCTGGCATGGCCGGCTTACGGCTGGCATCGACACTAGCTGCCGCAGGAATTTGCTGTTCTTGAGGGTGAGTTGGTACTCGCTCACCGTGGCCGCCATAATTGGGCACACCTTGAGAGATGGGCAATCCTCCTGTGGCAACATCAGAACTTGCTATATTATTCCATGGGTTAGGTGGCACTTGTGTGGGGTGTTGCGCTTTGGAGGCAGTCTGAGCTTGGTTAAACTGTTGCGGCGACTCCAAGCCCCTAATGGGTTTTTGAGCATCCCCTAAACCGGTTGCAATAATTGTCACGCGGATTTCATCTCCCATAGTATCGTCATAAACCGCACCAAAGATGAGCGTAGCTTCACCATGAGTATATTGGTTAACAATATCCGCGGCTTCCTGCGTTTCCCGCAACTTTAAGCTCGAGCGACTGCCCGTAATATTAAGGACAACCCCTCGGACACCGGCTAAATTAATCCCTTCTAGTAGAGGGCTACGAACAGCTTGTTCTGTAGCATTTCTTGCCCGATCCGGCCCTTTGGCCGTTGCCGTCCCCATCATTGCCTTGCCTTGTTCGGCCATTACTGTGCGAACATCCTCAAAATCGACATTAACGATCCCTTCTGAGGTGATGACCTCTGCAATTCCAGCAACGGCGTTATATAAAACATCGTCAGCCGCTTTAAAGGCATCGTCTAGGCCCGCATCATCATCCATTACCTCAAAAAGCTTTTGATTTAGAACAACAATTAATGAATCCACGTTTTTGGCTAGCTCATTTGCTCCGACCTCTGCCAAATCCATACGCTTTTTGCCTTCGAACTGAAAGGGTTTGGAAACAACACCTACGGTTAAAATTCCCATTTCTTTAGCGACTTGCGCGACCACTGGCGCAGCTCCTGTCCCTGTACCACCGCCCATACCTCCAGTGATAAAGACCATATTGGCACCACGAATCGCATCGGCGATTTTATCGCGACAATCTTCAGCGGTCATCCGACCGACTTCAGGGCGTGCCCCCGCACCGAGTCCCGTTTTACCCAGTTGAATTAACTTGGTTGCTCCAGAACGCGTTAACGCTTGCGCATCGGTATTGGCACAAATAAACTCAACACCATCAACGCCTCGCTCAATCATGTGCTGAACGGCATTGCCCCCCGCACCACCGACCCCAACGACTTTGATGACGATACCCGACGATAAATCAGGCTCTACGACTTTAATATCGGTAATATCCACAATTGCCTCCTAACACGACTAAAAAAGAAAAAATACACATAGAAACACTCACATTTCAACCTTTAAAAATTCGATTTAAACCATGATGACATTTTTTTAAAAATGTCTTTTAAGCTTG